TACATCCTACGCCAGTGTCATTCAAAATCGTGGCAAAACTTCTAAAAGTAAACTAAACAAAAATTATGCAGGAAGTAAACAAAGTGCCACACATGGTAATCTCAATCACAGTTACAGGTGTCAATGCATTTATAAAAATCTTTAAATTATTTAAAGAACTAGGGAACATATTCAGAGGTCTCTATCACAAATAATTCACAAAGTGCCTGAAATTCAAGCAACTGAAAACTCAATCAACAAGTTGTTTATAGTATTTAATATCTTTGAAGAATTATTAATGTCTCAAATTGCCTAATACTTAAATGTGTGTATATTACCTATTTATTACAACTTTATGTAAGCGTACTTCTATCATAATCTGGTTAGAGTAGAGAAAATAGTACCCCTTGTATTATCGCGAAGTTGTTTCATTTATGGTAGACTGAGTAGTTGATTGTTATGGAAACCCTATTATGACGTAATCGGTTGTATGACATGGACCTTATAAGAAATAGACTAACCGAAACGGGTTTTCTCCCTCGTATGAGGCGTTGCCGGCTGTCACCTTGATCACATCCGGAGGAGTAGGGACGACTTGCAGAAATTTAACAGTGGTTGCCTATTGCAGCGTGTATAGTTGTCAAGAAAAACCTGGTTGTAACGCCTCATTCTTGAAATTGAGATTGATTTTTAAAAATTTAGCATATTTATCAAGCATAATTAACATTCCAAATAATTATAAAGCTATTGCCTGCTATCAGGACTGGATATTTTTTTAGTTTTTCCTATGCTGTCAGGAAATTTGTAACTACTTCTTTTAGAAAATAATATTTTAAATCTGAACTAATAGAAAATTTTAAACAAGCAATTTTCTCTTGCAATTTTTATGCTTTTTATTGTGTTTGTAAATAAGTAAAAAATACTAAAATATTTAAAAACGAATTTTTGAAAGTTTTGTTTAAAATTCTAAATTGTGTGCTGCTTTTTTAAAATTATAGATGAGTATTATAGCACAATTTCTATAAAGGAATTTTATTTCAATTATATTTCATAATACAACATAGTGATAAACACTTTTGACTCTTTAAAATTTTTATACATTTAATTCTAATATTAAAATTGTATTTAACCGTAATAATTAATTTTGCTTGTATTTTATAGTGATTATTTTTTTTATTTATTTTAGTTCTGCATCAGATTTTTTTTTTATTTACTGTTAATTTAATTTATTAGCCCAAAGGGCTAGTTAGGAAGAGAACCTAGAAACCTAGAAAGGCTGTTAGTTTCGAAGCGGCATTTTGCGCTGTTTTACTATAAATGTCCGTGTCTCCTTGAAAATTGTTGTTACCAAATATTATCGCCCTGTATTATGTGTAAAGAAATTAAATAATGAAGAATCTGCATGAATGCATGTATGTTTCTCGCACTGTGACAAAAACGACAGTATCTAGAGCCATCAAATTTTGAATAATGTAATCATCCATCCGAACATAGGCATCTGGACGGCAGAATTTCAAATTTGTTTTAATCTATTTCATATTTTGTAAAACTTTAACGAATTTTTGATTAACAAACTCAAAGAGCTCAGAGCGAGCACTGTACAGAAAATAACAGTTTTATATCCAGTGCGGAAATTCTAAAGATATGCTGTTTTCAAATGTATGTGGTTTACGGGCGAAGAACATGATATTCAATAAATATAGGTAACACACAAAACTTTAAAAAAAGAGTGCTTCTAGATTTTATTTTATCTTTTTTTTTCCTTCATTACGTTTTTTTAAAATTAAATAAAATTTTATGCTCCGAATTTTATGAATTATTAAAATAACAAATCCATTTTAATGTAAATAATTTAATGATCATATAATGAAATAAATATGATCATTTTATAATGTTATTATAGTTTGGAAAATCACTGCCTGAAAATGTTCATTAAAAAATTATCAGATCTTGTTTAATTTTACCTTATTTTTTTCAAAGCATCGCGTACTATCAATCTTATTTAATTTTACTTTATGCAAAATTAACTTCATAAATTTTGTCCTTAGAGTTTTTACCGTTTTACCAAAGTAAAGAAAGATGTTTGTACAAGAATTACGCGTGAAAATAATGCGCGAAATGCAGTAAAAAGGGCTTTAATGAGATATATTAAATCCTATTTGGAAAAAACTGTGGCTTTCATAATCTTATCACTATACAACGTATCACATTTAATAATGAAAAAGAGTTCTGTGACACAAACGCCATAGGTTTCAGTGTTAAAGTAAACCAGATCGTCCCTACTCTTTCTTGCCGACATGTCGGTGACGCGCGCCCCGCCCACTGGGTTAGTCTATTTCTTATAAGGTCCATGTTGTATGATTGCGGTAAATTTGTAAGGGCTTGGTGTGTGTGTGTGTGTTGGTTAGGAAGTAAAATTAATTTGAAGTTTCTGTACGATTTGGAAAGAAAGGGGAAAAGAGCAATACTTGACCTGGTGTGTAAATGAAGGTTTACTTAGTAGTCATTATTAGGTGTCTTGTTTGTAGGAAGGAAATGCGAACGTCACTACGGAGGATATTTTTGACTCTTAATTTTGTGAATTTATGTGGCGACGCCAGTATACAGATTCTAGTTCAGATAACTTTATGAAGTTTTTGGATACTATTAAGGAATTTGTTTGACTGAAGACTTGTTAATTCTTAAATAAGGTAAGTGGATATTTCCTTTGTGTTGTGCAAAGATGAATTCCATTTTTATGTTATTTCATTGTTTGATTTAAAATGTAGTTTATTGAGATTATATATTTTTTTGTTGGCTGCTCCTTTGACTTAAGTGAATATAGTTCGATGGGCAAATTCGAAAGTCAAGGGAGTGGGCAAAGCCTAGTTTGTAGAATTCTCTGATGTTTTTTTAAGTGAAAATTGGTCGATGTGTACACGGATAAAGTAAGGGAGTGCGCAATGCCGTTTTTGTGCAATTCTGGGTTTTTTTTTTTAACTGAAAATAGGTCGATGTGTACATGGATAACGAGTTTGTGCAATTCTTTCTCTTGTTATTTTGGCTTTGTGTAGCGGCTACGCAAATCAAAATAATAAGTCAAAGAATTGCACAAACTCGGTATCCCATGTACCGCCAAAAATCGCCAAGTTTCGCCAAGGGATACCCGTAAGTATACTTTTACCCATAATCCTCACTATTATGATATTTCTCTTCTAACTGCTACTCTTTTGTAACTCCATATCCAATTTCAGCATACAAATACAGCATACATTATCGCTATGTCTGGCTCGATAATAACTTCAGTTATACCATTAGTCCTTTACTTACTCATTATTTTGACTAAGTTTATCTTTCATGTTTATGTACTCTCCTCACCTAGTTCCTATCACCAAAGGATTTGCGCTTTCTATTAACTGTATAGCTTACGCAATTCTTTTTCTGTACTAAATGCCATCAGTTCGAACGCCCTCCCCCCCCACACACACACCAGATGCTTATAAGGTTCTTTTCAAATCTTCTGCCGATCAGTTTCACATTAATTTATTCTAAATTCCTTAAACAAATTGCATATTTATTAATTATCTTGAAACCTTCAAAATTAATCACGTATTCTAAATTTTGGCTGCTCATTGTTTCATTGAATGCTTTTCATTGTTCTCTTGTCATTTGATTAATGTAACAATATTAGTCAAAGCACAATTATTCGATTAGGGGTAGGTACCCTGGTGCTGGCACCATTCCCTCTTGAAAGAGTGGTATGCAATTTCACAAGACGATCAACATTTTTAATGTCTATGAAATCAAGATGTATGCATATCTGTCCGAGGTGAACATATAGCATATTAAAGAAAACATTCCACAAGTGATGACTCAATTTTTCCATCATTTTCAAATTTTCATAAATTTGGTTCTAATTACAGTATTTTGAGAATAATCACTGCCAGATATTGTAGTTTATGTTAACTAATGCTTTTGTACAAAAATGTTTTAAATGCTTTTGTGCAAACTTCTATTAATAATTTCTGATTAAGTATGAGTTGCGTTTTATTTTTGTTGTTATTATTTAATTTTGATCAAGCAATTTTTAATCTTTTCCAAAGCGTTTGATTTGGGTCTTTTAGTGTTTTATCCCTATAAAACTTTATTATATTTCTGTAATATTCAGTAGTAATACAGTTTATGAATCATCCATGTTTGTATTTGCTTAGTAATGTGAATTTTTAGTTCTGTAACTGTTTCGGAATAATGTAGCTTTTCAAAATGGAAAAAAATATAAATAAATACACTCTTGATGTATAGTGACCAGTTTGAAGTCTGTGAAACACATCTTCTAGCCCTTTTTTACCATAACAAAACCATAACAAAGGGAGCTGCAAAAATAATTATTTCTAGGCGTTGGCAAACGTCGTAAGCAAAGGAGGATCCCTTCATATCTGTGTTATTCAACAGGTGTGATTTACAATAGAATGTAGATTTGAGATTTGTCTTGTGGTTTATTAAGCATACATTGAAATCTGTTTAGAGGAGGTGAAAACATCAAACATATTTCAACATTTTAACATGTGTATCATTTCAGTATGTTTAATTTTTTGAGTGATATATTTTTGCAACACTGCCATCTCTTTACAGTGATTATGTAATTATTCTGGAATTAATTTTACTTCTTATTAACTTAAAATTATTACATATTATTATTGAAAAAGTGTTATGATTCATTTTATAGTAGGATGTATTTTTGTAACACTGATATTTCTTTACAAAGATTATGTAACTCTTCTAGAATTTATTTTACTTTCTCATAACTAGAAAAATATTACTTATTACAATTTAAAAAGTGGGTAATGATTCATTTTATTGTAGAATATAAAATCAGAAATGTCAAAGTTAAAAACACTTTTTGAAATAGGTACAAAGTGTAAAACTCGTTATATTTATCTAAAGCATATATGCAATATTTACAGCATCATATGTATATGTCTATGCATCTAGAAATCAATTCTTTATTGAATCAGTTTGAATTTATTGATGTAAAATAATAATGAAACAGTATAAGTTTTTTTTTATTTTAAAAATTATTTAACAGACTGACAAATAAAAAAAATCTGCATATTTATTTCATATAAATATATGAAATAAAATTTATACATGAACTCCTATATTTAACAGGAACAAGGAGTGTTAGGCACTTAATGCTTTCTTTTCAGTTTTCTCAATGCATTTTCTATAAACTGATTTTAATGTGCTACAGGACATGCCCCCATAAAATTTGTAGCCTAATACCACAAGTGCATTTCAGCATCCACTTCAAAAATGCTTTTTTTTGAAATGAAGTGAAACATCTAAAATTAAGACAAACCAGTTTCCAGTGATGTTATGTATTATGTTTAACAGGAATATCCTTCAATTTAGAGCTTGTACTTTGGTACACGTAATAAGATATTTTATTTCTACAGGGAATGAAGTATGGGAAAATTTAAATGATTCTTTTATATAAAGATTCATATTAATTTGTGAATGATGTATCCAAGCCAAAACCAGCTGCCAGTGAATTTGTTTGGCTGGTTTGTCTCAATTTTCATAAACATGAAATATATTTTTGAAGCAAAAACAAATACAATATGAAAGTTCATGTGCCCTTTTCCATTACTGTTGGGAAATGTATTAAAGAGATTATAGTTCTTTTAGGCACTAATTGTCATGTCATTGCTTTTATCACAGCACAATCTTCTTGTCTCTTCTGAGAGCTAGCGACTATATGTAGCTTTGAAGTATGATGCTAAAACCACAGTTCTAGTGATTGGAAATGCAATCTTCCCAGCCGAGCAAACAAATAGAGCTGAAAATTTCCAAAGAGCTTCACGTGAAATCTTATGTAAAGAAGAAATCAATACTGAATGCAAATGGCAAAACTATTTCTTCTCTCATTTTGGTTTGCCATTGTTGTTCTTCCATCAAGATATGAAGTGCTTTTGCCTTTGTTTTACTTTGTACTCTTAATTTATATCATTCAGTTATTGTTTCTCTTTGTGAAACTGAGATTACAAAAAGTCCATTAATTCTCATAATCATTCATGATAATTTTTTCTCCTCATGAATTTATCCGATTTCTCAGCTCTATTATTGCTGAAAGAAGAATAAGGAAAGATGTAAGCACATTTATGGCTTTTCAAGTTAACCGCTATTGTTCATGGTACTTGATGACAGCTTCTTTTCACTGAGATCAAATATACAAGGAAATCTTTTATACACTTCTTTCTTCATGGCCTTGCTTTTCTGAAAAAAAGATTGAAATTAAGCAAATGAGAGAACTGCCAACAAATAAATATATAATTGTAACATGCTCTTTTTATAAATAGGCTATCATGAGAAAATAATTCCAAAAACAAATGTACTGTTTTTAATAAAAATAATGTTCCTTAGTATGCCATAAGTGTATTCTGCTTTAAGTACTTTGCACTGAAAAATGCAGTTACAATTGTTAATTGACCATCATTAAAATAAAATTGTGTTTTAAAATTTAGTCTTTGTTACATTTTTGAAAATAATTTGACTTAGAAAGTAATTTGATATCATTTATAATGCCAACATATATTATCTAATGATAATTATTGACTGATTGGTAAAAAGACAAAGTGTAAAACTCGTATATTTATCGTAGATTTATTAAATATTTTTGTTTTCTATATGAACCCGGTATTTTTTATAATAAAATTTGTTTTACGTTTTTTACTTTTTAAATATATTTTTTATTTATCAAATGCCTGGCCATTGACAATCAGGTCATTAGTCAATGAGCTCTCCAATACTTCTTTACGATACAGTCCAAAGTGCAGAGCACACGTTCAGATGAGCAGCGTCCATGACCTTGTCCAAAACCACACACAAAGCAAATAAAGGTGAGGTAGTTAAAACGAAACAAATGAGCACCAAGGCAGTCATGTCCAGTCAGTAGTCTATCCTCAGCCACAGTAGTAGCACGAGAAGAGTCCGAGACACAGTGGGCTTTTAATAGTAAACCTCCATGACTTATTTTCAGTAGCACTAACAGCAGCATTACTAAAGGATATTTTTTAAATTCTTTTGATTTCAAGTTTAGCAGAGCGAAGAGATAGGTCTTTGGAAGACCTTTGGGGAATATCCGTACCATTTTTTGCCAAAAGGTCCGCCATCTCGTATCTCCAAAGGCCACAATGGGATGGCTCCCGCTGGAAAGCAACCTTTGTCTGAATTCTGCTCAACTGCCCTGCAGCTCTGGAAACAAGCTCTTTTTTTTCCTAGGTTATTTGCTAAGACAGACCTGAAGAGCAGAACTTGTGTCCTATAAAATCACAGCCTTATCTACAGGAGAGAGACGGACAGAAGGCCGTTGAAGGGCTAAACGGATGGCCTCGATAAATACCGAATATACCTTTTTTAAATATATAAAATAACTGATTAATGAATATTTTATAACCACGCAGCTCACGCAGCTAACGCAGGTAATACGTATGAGTACTAAAATATGACTCAGGTATGAACAGAGAGTAATAAACTGTTATTTGAAGAGATCTCTAGCAAATTTTTAGAAATATTTTACGCAAGCATTAAACAGATGAATAAAAAAAGAATAAAACTATAAAAAGTATTTTAGAGGGCAGGTAAACAATAATTCTGTATAGAGAATAATTTTGGGGAATTTGATACAAATCTTACAGAATTTTTTTCTCTCAAAGAAACTCGGAGATGTAATCACGATTTGATAAAAATGCTAAATTTCAAAATCATCTGAAATTTTATGCAATTTTTAAAAATGAAGTTTTTTTTCTTTTCTGCTTAGCAAATAAAAGTGATTTTAAGTCATAAATTAGGCAGTTTTTCAGATCTAATTTTGCATATTATATAATATGAATTAAAAAAAAAGTACTAATTTAGAACAGCCTGCTAAAGCTTTCTTAAAGACTGGTTCAAATTTTAAATTTTGGATATTTTTCCTAAAACGTGCCATATGATAAAAATTATCAGAGGCTGAAAGGGTATTTTATTTAATCTATTTCTAAAATGGGAACCATAGATCTAATAACAGTTTTTCAAGAGATATGTAGTCATGCAATTACTTTGAAATATATCACTGTTGTTGATATCAGTACTACTGCCACTTGGTAAAATGAGGTCGATAATTCTGTGAAGCTTTTAAATTGAATTCGCTTGGATACTGAACGTTTGTCGAGAGAAGGCAACGGGAAGTTGCTTAATTTATTTATTAGGATAATTAATATTTGTGTGAACGGATGTTGCTCATTTCATTCTAATTTTTTTGTATGCGATACATTCTTATTGAAATTTGTGCCCCCCCTTTTTTTTTGATAAAGTTGTTCTACAGAGTAAAATTCTGTGCAGTTTTTAAATTTACTGTTTGATGTTTTCTTTAGGCATTTTCCCGTTATATTTAAGCGTAGCGGCTAGTAATATATAGGGTGCCTCATTAATACTGGCACACATTTTTAAGGACAGGTAGGTCACATGAAAAGAATTGCCGCTAAGTGCTGCAGATTACGAGAGTTGTTCACAGTTTTTGGGCTGGTTTGCTCAGCGACTGCTTAGTGTATCCTTACTTGTTGCCCTCACCTATGACATGAGTAAATTACCTCATCGTTTTGGAACAGGTTCTATCAGGCTTACTTCATCCTGTGTCACAAAATGTGAGACACACATGCCTTTTCAACATGATGAGATGCCATTCCGTTATGGATGATGTCTTCAAAAGCATCTATCTGAATGTGTATGAGTGCCTGGCCTCCAAGCTTTCCGAATTTGAGCAGCCGTCTTTCTTTGGGGATCACTTAAAGCTTTTGTGTATGAAACACCTATCGAGTTTGAAACGGATCTAGTTGCAAGAATCGCCTTGCTACTGTAGATATCCAAGCAAATCCAGGTGTTTTTGACCGTGTCCACCAGTTGATGATCCGTCGGTGTAAGGCATGCAGCGTTTGCAACAGTGGAAACTTTGAGCATCTTTGAGATGATATCATTTACTACAATATTATGCAATATTTATGAGCAATAAATATTTGTAATCTCTGCATTGTGTCCTTTCATTTACTTGTACCTCTGATACTGCTATCCCATGACATTTTCAGACCAGGGTTGCTATGCAAATCCGAATGCTTTTGACGTGCTCTATCTATCTTTAAAGTTTGTATCAATATTTATGGGTCATCCTGTGTAATAAACAGTTTGTGAGAATTTAACTGTTGCTTTCCTTATTGACAGTTATTATTGGTTATTACAGTAATCCATTCTTTGGAATTAAAAGGTAAATGTAAGCATTAAAAATAATATCTAAAACCTAACTGAATATTTAATTTGCATTATCAAAGTGTGCTTTATGAAAATTTCTTTTTGTTTTGCATTTCGTTCTGTCGAAACTAATGCATGTGGTTTAAAGGGTATATTTTTTCATACATTTGAAGGATAAAGAGGGTTGTGTTAAAATTAGTCACCTATTCTTGAAGAAAAGACATTCGATGAATCCTTCATTGAAATGCTCCTGGTTGGCCGGCGGATAGGTCTCCTGATTCTGGCCCTTCTGGACGGAGGAGGTATTGTCGTCGGAGATTGGGTTGCCAGATCTCCTTCTTGGCCTCTGTCCATTCTTTCTTCTGCTTCAACATATGTTTCAGTCACATGACTGTAGTCTGGAATTATGTTTTCTATTTCAGCCAGACATCGCCCATTTTTGCACACCTGGAAGGAATTCATTGCAGAATTTAATGAAATAATGCATTCAGATGAACATGCATATAAAAATTCTCTTTCTACTCATCATTATTTTGTAATATCAGGAACTGTTTAAGTTTTTGCTGTAAAAAAAAGTTTCCAGCAAATATTATTTTTACATTTTATGCATTAAAAGGATTAAAAAATATTTAAATAATAGTTTTCCGATAGTATCTGTATTTACGCTCTTAAAATAGTAATATTTTTGCACAAAATTTGTAAGGTGAAACAGTATTCATGACAATATTATGAAGTGATGGGACAGAAATATGCACAAACACTATTGGAAATGTATAAAAAATATTTATTTATTTCAGTTTATTGAGACACTAAAATGATATTGGAAATTTTAAATGGATTTTCTTAAAATTTATAAATACTTTTTTTAATTAAAATTCATGCAGTCATTCATAAAACTTTCGTATAATGTGTAATTTTTGTATAATAGTTAATTTAATATTTTTGTATAATACTTTTTTAAAGAAGAGTGTATGTCACACATAATGTGTTAAGTTTCTAAATGCGGAAGGGGAAAGATGTAAGGTAGCATATATTTTGAGTTCAGTGTACTCGTATAGAAAGAAGTCGAAGGCTATATTATTCATGTTCTTGAATACTGGAAAAAGGAATTTTCCCATAACCACGCGTAAAAAGCATGAACTCTTCATTTCTTTCGGTTCACCTTTCTCCTCCCTCTGTTAGATGCAATCCGAAAATTCGCCGAATTTTTTGCTATTAAACTTTGAACCCCAGGCTCCACAAAGATTTAAATAAAGAAACATTACACGTCAGAGATTCTAAAATAAAGACTTTTTTTTTATTTACAGCAACCAAACAAGTCGGGAGAACCGTACATTCTAGCAGATAACAGTTTAAAAAATATTCTTTTTAGAACAACAATAAACTGAAATGAAATATTGTTGCCGTTCACAAGTTGTGTTAATAATATATCGTTTGCATTTATGTAAAGCTATCGCGCTTACTATATTAAATAAATATTTAACAGGCAGACGATAACACCCTTTTTTTAGCCGAAAGGGGCACTTTGCCCAGAAGGGCTATTAATTTTGCATTTTGCGTTCACTACGGCATTTCACTTTTCAAATTGTTGCCACCAAATGTTAGAGACCTGCATTATATTTAAAGAAATTAATAATGAAGCATCTGTATGCATGTATGTTTCTCGCACTGTGAAAAAACAACGGTACCTAGAGACATCAAATTTTGAATAGCGTAGTCCTCCATTCGAGTATGGACGTCTGGAAGCCCAAATTTGGAATTTGTTTTATTATCTATTTCATATTTTGTAAACCTTTAACGAATTGAATAATAAACTCAACTCTTTCAAAGCAAAGTATATTAAAAAAAAAAAATATATCTCCAGCGCGTGAGACTTTGTATGGGGAAATTCTAAAGATACGGTCTTTTAAAATTATTTTGTGATATTGCTGTTGAATTGAATTTTATGGTTAAAGTGCCAAGAACATGATATTTAATAAATAAAGGTAACACACAAAACGTTAAAAGCGCCCATTTGGGCTTAATATAAAATCTGAAAGCCTTTCAGATTTTTTTTTTGAAGGCCATGTACATGATTCTAAATGCATAAGTTCTTATATATTGGTGAAGATCAAAGAAAGAAAGGGAGCTTTTTATGTATAGCTTCGTAGGAAAATTGTATTACGGCTCGTTTCCACCTAAAGTGAATAAGTTGTAATGCAACTGCTACCATGTTGTAATTCATTGTTGCCATAAAAAAAAGGAATTTCTATTAGATGCATAAAATAAACAAAGGCAAAAAGAATGTATTAAAATTTAAGAATTCGCTTAGAAAACCAAAAATTACCTGTCCGTCTCCGCAGGTCGATCCTTCCGCGGCTGGTCTGTAAGAAACGCAGTATCCAGAAGCAGTGTCGAAGCAGAATAGTTGCGCGCAAACTCTTGCATCTTTCTGTAGGCCAAAATTAATGAAACATTTTAATAATTAACTCCATTAACGAAGTTTAATTAAATGAAATTAAGGTATCATCCTTCACTTAATAAGAGAAAGATTTGAGCAAAATAATTGTAATAATAATAATAATAATGGTAAATAAGAATAATAATAATGGAAAAATATCTGAAAACTTCAGATGCCTAAAGGAATTTACCGTAAAAAAAATTCATACCTCTTTTATCAACTGTAATAAAACTATAAATATTAAAAAATTATCTATTAGGTATATTGCAAGTTAAATACCTTTACTTTGTAGGAATTAGTTAAGTTATTAAAAAGATTTAAATCATTACAAAAAATGCATTTATTGTCTTAAGTCGTCCAGTTTGTAAATCAATAACGGATTGATTCAATTTAAAAGGTAAATTAAAATTATGCTTTGCAGACGGGTAGTGATTTGAAAATCGGCTGCGTTTGATGACAAATGGAAGCTAAATTAAATTTTTTTACGTTTTAAGTAATTGCAAAACTTGCAAAGGCGTTCCTCGTGATTCGTTGTTCTCGTCTGTCAGTTAGAGGCATGATTTTGTCTCTGAATTTTATTTTTCCAAAACAAGCTATTGTACGTGAAAAAGAAATAAGTAATTTAGATATAAATAATAGTAAGTAATTTAGATATAATTTTCAATGAGTACTGTTTGTGTATGCCCTTTGAAGTTTATTCTGTTATATCTAGTGACAGTTAAAAGATTTGCTGGTATTAAGTTGGAGAAAAATCGTTCGATAATATATAAAGTTATTTTAAAAGATTTGATGTAAAATTAGCATTTTTATTTCTTTAAGTGTATAAAGAAAAAAATTTTCTCAGTTAATTGTAGAGAAAGCTTTCAGAAACATTTTCCAGATACTTTAAATGAACCATTTTTATTAATTAAAATGAAGTAAAAAATATTTATATCGTTATTTTCTTGCTTAAAATCCTTTTAAATTCTTGAATTAGCCTCATTTGCTTATGATTCTTTTTAAAACTCTTTATAGGAGAATCTAAAGAGCATTAATAATTTTTGTACTTAGAATCTTTTATAATAACTGCCATTTTATTCTTAAGCATTTTAAAACAAAAGTAACTGCATTCAAATTTTCGTTACTGTTCGCATGAAATTATATCTATGCCTTATTGAAAATACAAAACTACATTCTTCGAAAGAAATTCAGTACACTTTTAAAGCGAGGATTAGCGGCTTTGAAAGGGTATCTCAATCCATACATTCAATTTTCTTCATATATTAGTTAATAAACATTCCTTACTTAATAGATCAGGATGAAGGAATATGATTCCATTGTTATTCACCGCTCTATAAGCATAGGGGTCAGGCTGGCCGCTCGAGGCGCCTAAGTTTAATTGCTGGTTAAATTAGTCAAAAATAAATAAATAAATATAAACAAAAACTGTTTCCTATTATTTAAAGGGGGCTTTTATAGACTGGTTCTGCAAGGGATTCAGAGATGTTTTTTGCTCTTACACCAAGTTTAAGAGGTTGCAATGCTAAATTAAGTCGGGAGTCCTTTTAGTTTAAAACATGTCCAGTAGATGGCAGCACTACCATACTATCTGAGTATTGCTCTCTTAAATTTTCGAGTAGCTCTAATCTTTCACTTGGTTGACATTAAGATTTTCGTCTTACGTAAAGTAGACTTGAGTGAAAACTCATAAACTAGTTTTAGGGTTATGAAAGGAAGAGAAATAAAGTAAACTTTTTTTTTTTTCAGTGTTGGAGGTCAGTGTGAAGAGGACAAGAGTAGAATAATGAAAGTACGCAAATGACATAATGTGGAAAAATATAGACATTCAGAATACAGAATAATACGTATGAAACTACTTTAAATATTTTCTACGATAGAATATTCATTTGGTAATTATGTTTCAGTCTTAAGTAAAACGTAGCCTGTAAGACGATGTCTTCCTCTTGCACTGGTGCACAGCTAGTCACGGCGATTTATGGTTTAATTCCAGATATTAGAATGGCTCATTTTGCATTTCTCATCATTTTAAAAGATATTTATATATTATGTGTGTAAGTATTTATACTAAATAATGATTATTGTTTAGGGCAAAATACACGACGACTTTTACCCAAAAGGAATGCTTTCGTGGAGGCCTTTTTAAGGGGGAATGGTTCACATTTACGTTACACTAAAAATCCATGTTAGCTGGACCATTCACCAAGATTTTAATTCAGGGCTCTTAACCACTCTTTGTCTGGCAATCAGTTTTGCTGAATTTTGGAATAAAACCTACTCAAACGTAATGCTGTAAATGGCTACTTCTCTACAGAAATAGTTTTTAATGTAATAAATGTTTCATTTATTATAAATTTAATGCAAATTTTTCTGATAGAATTAAAAACACTATTTTGAAAGAGGTATTTTCATTCATTATTTAGACTTCATTAGCGCTCTTTATCATTTAACAAAATCAGTGTTTTTGAATTGTCGGTATCATCGCAGAATGTTTTGGTGGCTTGATTGATATAGATCGCACTGCATTCGAAACGAATGCTGCACATTAATAATTGATAAACACTTTGATATTTTAAAACGCAAATTGCTTTCTACTATTAACTTTGTATTTAGAAAATGGAACTCATCTGCCATACGATGTTTCACAAGAAAGCTTGCACTTGCGAATTTAAAAACATAAATTACTTTTTTTATATTTTATGTAGCTGTCAAGAATATGTGCCACTCATAACTTAAAAAGTTATAGAACTTTAAACCCGATGAATCCTTTGTAATTATTCTACATTTTAAACGAAAAAAGAATGCATTACATAATCTCAAGTATATCAATTTTGAAACAAAATCTTTGAATAGAAAATTATTTTACAAAATTGCATAAGGTATATTATTATTGCTTATGCAAAGTTTCGACATTCGCAAGAAAACATTATGGTGCTAGGTAGCATACGTAAGTTGAATTCATCTTCGTATTACATTTATCTTATCTAAAATACATTATTAAAAAGCTATGACAAACAAAGTACATCGATGTTCTTCAACAACAGTTTTTCACTTTTAGCTACTTTTAATATAACTTTTTTAATATAACTGTTTTTATTTTTTTATGTTCAGATAATTCCTGTTTCCATTTATTGAGAACATGTCTAGATTAATTTGTTGTAGGTATTTTATTTCCGTTCTAAAAGGGTAATTGACTTCAGTAATGATTTAAAAGAGAAGATATTTTTGATTGATGTATTTTACCCTATGTCCCATGACTGATGATATAATGAAGCGATGATGATGTTGATGAGTTGAAGAAAGTTGGTTACCCTAGATATCAAAAGATAATTGACTGAAAATGGCCTCATTCAATGTGATGCGAATGTTTCACAGGAAAAGAAGAACAGAAGAAAAGCGTTCAAATATAAGTTGATGGGCCACTTTTATAATTTGAGATACAATATTGGCCAAAGGTTTAGCCATGCGAATTCGTAATTTTAATTTTATGCGCAGAAAAAGAGTTAATAAATTAAAATGCAAGACATTTTAGGTGCTTTTCCATTTCTTCAAAGTCTGCCTTTGCCATATAATATCTCAATCTACTCTTCAGTAGATATGCATGGTTAATTTCCGATGAGAAAAACGATAAGAGATAATTGGGTTGTTTATTTGATGATGGCAAAACTTATTAAAGCTATTTAATCAATCACTCCAGTCCAAGGATTCGTCTAATGAAATAGAAATTGCACGCTGCCCAACCGGCATGGTGGCTAGTGATTCTGACCGCTGTACCGTAGGGCTCTGGTTTGAATCCCGAAGAAGGCATGGATGTTTGAAAATGCATAGTGTTTGTGCGGCATGTGGGCACTCTAAATATGCGGCGAGCCGAAATTCCTCTCGAGAGGTTGATGGTAAGGGAAGAGGGCTGAGACACCTCGGACCCGTCCTTTCGGGGTGCTCTCCATCAAAACTGAGGGTGGAAGTGAGAGAAGTCGTACTGTCACCTGTATGCTGCTCAGGCTCTTGCTAACGACAGGCACAATCTTGCACTCTATACCACGAGGAATTTCGTGGGCTTGTGCTGATTTTACTGTCAAGCAAGTGAGATAAGTCACAAAAACAGAAATAAGCTTTGATTATTCACAGATTAGATGTCTTATAGCATTTTTTCGTCAGGTGAATACTCTATTACGTTGCTTAACTGGTGTTATTTTTATGCACTTCCCAGAGGGTGGTCATAAAAACCGAATCCCTACCTGTCTGTCCGTTCAAACAATCGCAATGAAATTTCAGATATTATTTTTTTAAGGTATTCGCTCGAGATTATGATTTAAAACAATAGTACTCTCATAGCTACGGTTACAGCGAAAACATTCCGAATTTTTCGAACGGTAACATTCATTTTTTTCCACTGCAAATTGATCAGCACATTGAAACGCCGTAAATGGCACTGGAATGTAAACGCCGTAAATGACACGTTTAGACAAAAATCACTCACGTAAAGCATTTGCAAAGAAGAGCATTATAAAGGCCGCCCAGACGGTATAGTGGTTAGGGGAGCCTACTGTGGTACCGAAGGGCCGGTTTCGTATCCAGAAGAAGGCATTGATGTTTGCAAATGTATAGTGTCTGCGGCACGGAGGTCACTCTAAATATACGGCGAGCGGATAGTCCTCTCGTGTTGTTTGGTGGTAGAGGAGAGGAGTGGGAGATTTTCGTCCCCCCTCCTCGGGGTGCTCTTCCTCATAATTGGGGTGGAAGTAGAAGTCCAACCTCCTTGAGACTCTGGCAACCATTCTTCCATTAAATACATAGAGAAGACAAAATAAGAGAGGAGAGGGAGAGAGGGAAAACTTTTATTGGAATTACGAGTATTCAACGTGCCGATCTTCGCAGATGGTAATTTTTTGAATGCGAGAGATTGTTGACAACAGTGACGAACGGAACATCGTAGGAGGTATGTGTATAACTTGCATTTTGTGGAATCTTTCAATTCTGAGATATCTCGCGTATTTGATGTGTATACTTAGATTTCAGCTAACTCCTGAACAAGAAATCCATCGAAATGATCGCGATGGCCACGAAACTGCAAAGTTGCGGGAGATGACTTTATCTTGAAACGTTGTAGATATTCGAAACTTATAATTTTAATAAACGTTTTTCCCTCCTCCCCGCTCTTGTCCTTTACAATGCTCTTTCTTTGGAAATGCTTTACGTCACCAATGTTCATCTCGTGTATCGTTCCAACGCTACTTATGGTTTTTTTCAATGCGCTGATAAAAAAGGGTATAGCCATTCAAAAATTCCAAAATGTTTTCACTGTAACTGTAACCGTAACCGTGAGAACTCTATTGTTTTAAATCATCACAATCTCGAGCACATACCTTCCAAAAGTAATATCTGAAATTTCATTGCGACTGGTCATAACGACAGGCCGCTACGGGTTCTTATAACCGGAAAGCTTTCTTATGACTACCCTGTATATCGCAGCAATTTACTAGAATTAGAATGAAACCGTAATTATTATAGCACAATGCATTTATACAAAACTGTTTCAACCAGGTAAAGGTTCTGACAGTTTCCTCTTACTAGCTACATTTGTTAAAATGAACTGTAATTTAGATTATTGTTATGAACGATTTATCTCAGAAATGATTACTTACGAAACAAGCTGTTGTTCCTCTATCTCTCTTGCACTGTTCATCCAAGGATAACATAGTTCCTGGAAGAACTCTCACTAGTAGATCATTTTCATGCGGGAAGTTGAATAAGCACGTTGCAGTTTCTCCGCTAAAGTAAAGTTTAAATTATTACTTATTTAGCTCTAGAAATACTAAAATTAAATTTTATAGATTTTTCTACCTTTTGACAACTCAATTCCTATTTGTTCCTAGTAATTATAACACACGTATTTCAAGTGGATATGTATAAGGTAAATCATTAATCATTTTTTCGAATAAGAATTTTTAAACACAATTGAATTCACTTCTAACAAGCATTAAGAAATAAACAAATATTTTTGTAAGGTATTAAAGGTGCTTTTATCTCACGTGTCCGCATATTGAGTTAAATTCGGGGAAAAATATAGTTGATTTTTCAAGATTTCTGCTCACAAAAATATTTAATGATTCTATAATATGTATAATCATTTTTTCGTAGATCAGCGATGAATTAAATTCGCAAGAAAATAATATATAATTTTTTTCTCCCTCATATCGTGTTAACTCTGTATTCATAACCTTTATAATCAATTCGTAAATTGTATTTCTTTTCAAGTTCATTTTATCATAACAGAGACTTGATGATAGTGAGTATGTAGCTACTGTAAGTGCTCGGATGATTTTAAAACATTTTTTTTTTTTTAAAGAGAACATGCCAAAGTGAAACATAAAATTAGCAATGCGACAACCTTGTGTTGGCGTAGATTTAGTCAAGAACTCAATCGATTTCGAAGGCAAACAGGTAAAAGTCCTTCTTCATCAGAAGCAAAAAAATCCCAGTCTTGTAAATTTCTTTGCTTCTGATGAAAAGCGACCTGTGTCTGTTTACCATCGAAATCGACTGAGTTCTTGACTAAATTTACGCTAAACACAAGTGTTGCTTGGCTAATTTTATATTTTAAGTTTGATTTTGACAAATAATTTATTAGAATTAAAACTGGAGAAAACCCACTAGGCATTCTGTCCAGTCCTAGTAACTTTATAGCGTTAAAGCTCTAACGTTATTAATGCAGTTATAAGGTTGAGATCCTAATTTACAAAAACGTTAAAAAATTAGTGACTCAAAAAATTGGAAATATGTTTTTACCATTAAGGGAAGTATAGTCATTATAGAAAATCGGTAAACTGTTTTAAAGATATAAATACTTATTCTTATATTATACGGCTTCATTGCAAAGCGGGAAGATGGAATAGTGCCATTAGATGTCTTAAACACTTTTTTCATAACGTCTATTAAAATCTTAAAATGATTCTTTCTGACTTTTCATTAATTCATAAAATTTCTCATAATGCGACTGGATTATTTCGATATGTTGAAGCAAATAAAGAATATTATAAAATAAAATATTCATAAAATAAATAAGTATTCTAAAAATAAATAAGTATTCTATAAAATAAATATTCTATAAAATAATAAATAATAATCAATAAAAATATTCTATTAAATAATAATAAAATAATTGACTGAAAATTAAAGAGTATATTTACGCAGTTCATAATACGAGTATAAAACAAGCTTATCAGGTAAGAAAACCATACAGAAATTAATTAAATTTTCATATTAAAAGTAAATTAACATAAACAGTTTCATATTAGCACAGTATATACAATTTTATATTATTATGTTATACAAAATTTAACTTTAATACATAATATTTATAATAACGTAGTACCTGTTAGAAAACGACAGTTTCATATCAGTAATCAAAATAAAGTGAAATTTTATTACGAGTATTTAACTGTAACTGATTGGAATTTGAAACTGTTCGGTGAATACAGTTTTCTCCAAGTAATGGTCTTCCCGAGACAATTTATCCAAGTTAGTATTAGACGAATTTCATTTACTAGGCACAACACTTTGGTACTAAGCGCTTACTGAGGGGATACTTAGTCGAGTACTAACAGCGATACTTTGGTACTAGGCGAATGCTAGGAGCGATATTTGGGCGAAGGAAAAATGAAACTAACTGTGTGAGCTGTTTGCTGATTGTAGAAACACTTTCCTGCAGATTGCTGTCATTTTCTTATCCTCACAGAATTTTGTTGAACAAAATTCTGTTTAATCTTGACATCTCTTTTTAATACACTATTAAAAAGCGTTTAAGAATATTTAGCCAGTTCATGTAAACGACATTTACTTAATAAGCTAGTGCATGTTTGTCACTAGCATCGGCAGTGCTAATTTCTTTTATTTCATACCAGAGTCTTGTACCAAACTTGCGCAGTAAGGAAATTTATCCCCCACTGCTAATTAAGCATGCATTTTATCATTACACTTTCCTAATGGTATCGTCAATAGCAAACTTTTCAGTTAAATCCTTGGACTAACTTTTTTAATTAAGGAAAGACATGTGTGCTTGTAGCTCCCCTACAATGAGGCACTTAAAATCCATCGATCCTAAACTTCTTTGAAGAGGTTGATAGTAGGAGTAAAATCAAGCTATCTTCGGTTCTTCCAAGTCAAAAGTACAGCTTCAGTATAGTTCCAGTACAGCTGCACAAAATTGGTGCCATTGATAATCAACAGCAATCTCATTTGATCTCACTTGCCTTTATTAAGAAAGTCGTTTCAGGGGTTATAGCCCGATGTATAAATTATTACATAACAAATAATGAATCTTTTTTTTGCCTTGGCTCAGTTTAGCATTTTACTTTCTTGGTAGCATTTAGAATGCTTATATATTTTTACAACAACATTATCTACAACTTTACAACTTGAGTTTTCTTTACAACCTACGTTCATTCTTACTATTCAGTTTTAATACTGTTCTGTTGTTAATACTGTTCTGAATTTTTTTTTGTAAATTTGAAGTTGTTTCTATTTGTATATTAAATAGTAATTTAAAAATTTCGTTGGAAGTGAACTAAGGTAAATTGGCTCATCTTCTTGTTTCTCACATGCCATCACGGAATATATTCTTACGAGGATGACAGAATAAGGTCGAATCTTGAGAGAAATGGCAATGAGCCGTGTCACAGTTTCACTACCAGCTTGTGATCTTCATTTCATAATTTTGGAGAAAATCAGTAAAACAGCTGCAGATTATTTGCTTTCTAAGAATAAAAATCTTTCCTTTCAGAGAAAAAATCTTCTGCTTTGGAACAAACATTTTCAGCGATAAGTATCCTTCAGATGTTTAATGATAAGTTAAAAAATTTTTAAGTAACTTTTATTAGTGTTTTTGATACTTGATAATTTATTCAAATTCATTTAAATTTAATTATTATTATAATTTAGAAATAGTAATTTCTCAGTTTTTCTTAATCAATAAAAATAATAATTAATAAACTAACATAAAATGAAATAAATATAAATAATACAGTTTTTAATATAAATTAATAATCAATGATTTTTAAATTTAAACATTAAAACAATTTTATAATTCATTCAAATTTAACTGCCATAAAATTTAGTTTCATCATAGAGAAACGAAATTCGCAAGTTTATGAAATTCCTTTTCAATCGATTCTTTGTTTACAAAATTCAACGCAGTTAGCTGCGCCTAGTTCTTTAAGGCCAAGGTCATTTTATAAAACCAAGGTCATTTTATAAATAACATGTGACATTTTATAAATAACATGTCTTTAAGTTTTAAGCACTGTGAAGTTTTTAGCGATAAGTATCCTTCAGATGTTTAATTATAAGTTTAAAAATTTTTAAGTAATTTTTATTAGTGTTTTTGATACTTGATAATTAACACTGTGTGTTTATCTCACAATCTTTTTTTGTGATTAATTTTTATCTTGTACTCTAAAAAGGAGATGCACAATATTCTTCAGTTTGATCAAAAGAACAGAATATGAGAATGTAATATAAATTTAAAACAATTATTTCCCTCTTATTATTTAGTTTAATATGGGGTAAAAAGTCCGATTATAAAATAAAAGCTTTTTGTTTGATCATACACAACTAATGTGTGAAAAGTAAAAGATAATTAAATAAATTCGAGCATCTCCCAAAAGTTAGTTTTATTTATCGATATATGACACTAATTGTCTAATTATATATTAAACCCACTTGAATTTTAAGTAGGTTAGTCGTTCAGCAGAAGGTTAGTTGATTGCGCGATTTATTTTTCTAAACATGCATTTGAAATTAACGCCGAAATGAAGGCTGAATTTTGCCGTTTATGAATCTAGATTTTCTTTTGCAGCTTACATTGCAACTTCATCTATAAATGTAGGAAAAACGAAGGTTGTTTTTTTATAAAGATTTAATCATATGCCGTTATAGGCAAGTGCTGACCATTAAAAAAAGATTTAATCATATCTCGTCAGGAAGAATTTTGAGAAAATATGTTAGTTTAATTTTAAAATTTTCTTTTTGTCACGTTAAGGCGACTCTTGATGACTTTTTCTTATATAAGAATTTTCATCTATTTACTTACGAATACTATTAAATGGTTTTGTAAAATGATTTTAAGCTGAAAAATGTCTAACGGTAATTTTTTTGTTAAATTAAATTTTTTTGAGGGAAAATTTAACAATTAAAATGTTTTTCTTATATAATTTTTCAATGTTTTTACCTCAAATATTTTTATTGTGTTTATTAGAATGTTCTTAATAACTTTAAGGATCGATTTTCAATTAATAAATTAATTTCTGGAAAAAACGTAAAAGCATATACACTGGTGTGCAAAAATTAAGGACGAGACGGTTTTTTCAATATTACTTTGTACAAAAGCTTTCCAAATCAACACATTTAATACCGTAAGATCCCCAATACGTAAGGACATGAGTAATGTAAGCAACACTTACTAAAAGAGAAATCGGAGGGATAAAAAGAAGCTTTATTGTAGCATGGAGCGCAATGCGACTGAAGGCCGAAATATCCCTGTGATGGGTATCCAGCAAGAAACATCCGGTCTTTAATAGGGGATATGATCTCCCCTGACTGCTAGGCAGGTTTCACAGCGTCTGCCCATCCTGAGAATGAGGGTGTCAATGTGTTGTTGAGGCATTGCTGCCCATTCGTCTTGCAGCGCCAATCGAAGCTCCGGAATCGTTACTGGTGGTAAGGTACGAGCTGCCAAGCGTCTGCCTAGAAAATCCCATACATGCTCGATGGGATTGAGATCCGGAGATCGTGCCAGCCAATCCATACGTTCAATATCCTCACTCTCTAAGAGCTGTTCGGCAGCTACTGTGCGATGACATGGTGCATTGTCGTCCATGAAAAGGAACTGCGGACCTTTTAGCGCCTCTAAAAAGACGCACATATGGAAGAAGAATCTCGTTACAATAACGGGTCCCGTTGACTGAACCTGCGTCGAAGACGTGAAGGTCTGTACGACTACCAAGCATGATGCCTCCCCAAACGAGAACACCGCCACCTGCATACCTGTCCCTTTCAATGATGTTCGAGGGATGACTGCGGCTTCCCCGCTCTCTCCAGATGAGTATGCGATGAGAATCGCTACTCAGACTGAATCTGCTCTCATCTGTAAAGAGTACTCGTCCCCATTCATTGTCTCTCCAATTCCGGTGTTCCCGGCATCACAGAGAACGCCTTCTACGATGGGCAGGCGTTAGAGGCACACATCGTACAGGGCGTCGTGCAAACAGACCACCAACGTGCAGTCTTCTGGCCACGGTAAAACGCGATATCGGTCGTCCAGTCGCCTGTGTCGTGCGTCTAGCTCCCGCTGTCTGCCGCCTGTTTCTTCTGGCCTGTAAGGCAATATACCGGTCATCTGCGGGTGTGGTTCCTCGTGGACGACCACTACTAAACCACCGGATAGCTGTTCCTGTAGTTTGAAATTGTCTCCAAAGTCGTGAAACGATGCTGTGAGCAATTCCGAACTCTGCAGCCACACTTGTCACGCTGCGGCCTTCCTCCAACTTCCCAATGATTCGACCTCGGGTAAAAGCATCCAGATGTCGTCTAACAGATTGATTATTCGCCATTTTTCGCTGATGAGGCAGCAACTCTGTGTGATTTTAACTGCTATACGGCGTGCAATCTCTTTGCCAGAAATACTGATCTTACACCGACAACATGCTTTATACTACTCAGACACTCCCCCATTACGTCTACCTGCATATCTGCGCATGTGCTACCGTACATCACCTTACTTAATCTCCTGATTGCTCTTTCTGTCCGCTCTGCCTCTTCGTTCAGCTGATATGCTATTTTTTCTACTTCGTCCTTAATTTTTGCACACCAGTGTATATGAAATAATAGCAAGGAAAAGACAGAGCAGTGTTGATGCGTACGTAGATCCATATTCAAGAGGAAGTATTCCGATTGCCATCAAATGTATGTTAATACTTTGATGTCGAAAGATGTAAGAAACTTGGCAGTTGAGGCAGTTTCAATTCCATTTTTATTTGCAACGGACATTTGTGGTCACCATCACTTGGCACTCTAGTCGTGCCTATTCACAGAATATTTACATTTTTTTATATTATTCTACTAGCAAACAAGACAGGGAAATTACATCCTAGTAGGGTAGAGAGCGAAGCTGAAGTGCATAGTTATGCAAGATGGAAGCACACGAAGAGAAAAGGTTTTGGTTTAAGTTGGTAGTTTCAGTTCCCAATCATTACATCATCAACTCTGCGCAGGCCATGCAAAATGGAATGATCTAGAAATGATGCAATCCAGAGAAGTTATTACGATTTTTAAAACGGAAAGAGAGAATTAAAGTTTTATCGTTAGTTTAAATCATAATTTTGATTCATATATTTTTATCTTTTATACTATGTAAAAACTTTAAAAAAAATATGATTTAAATCACATTTTTTACTTCCAACAACTTTTCTTTTCAATATTTTGTAAAATCCATCCTTGTTTCTGTTCAGTATATAATTTTAAACAAGCAGAAGAAATATTAAATAATTTAGTCCATATCTCAAAGTATCTTAGTTTCAGGGCAAAGGATTTATCGAAGAAATCCAAGCTCGGAAAATACAGTTTAAATAATGTAAATTCTTTAAATGATCATTAAATCATTTCAAATTTCCAAATTTCTTAAATATTTTTATTACTGGATTTCAATACATATGTATCTAAAATAAAATCTATTGCTATAAATTGGTTTATATAAATATAAATCGCAGACTTTTAACTGAAGTCTTATGGGACCGGAAATCTTGCAAGAAAAATGATAAAATGCAAATAGAATTTTTCTTTACCTGTTTTGGTTTCGTAAAATACGTTAAAAAGAATTTTAATATGTGACTTAATTATAATACATTTTATAAAAGATTTATAATTAATATTAATAATGTTAAGTTATCGTTTCATTTATTTTTTTAAGTAAAATAAAATGTTTTATTTAAAACTGCTCAGCAGTATATGCGGTTGCTATAAATTGGTTTATATAAACATAAATCGTAGACTTTTATCTGAAGTCTTATCGGACCGGAAATCTTGCAAGAAAAATGATAAAATGCAAGTAGAATTTTTTTTATCTGTTATGGTTTCGTAAAATACGTTAAAAAGAATTTTAATATGTGACTTAGTTATAATATATTTCCTAAAAGATTTATAATTAGTATTAATCATATTAATTTGTCGTTTCATTTATTTTTTCCAAGTAAAATAAAACGTTTTATTTAAAACTGCTCAGCAGTATATGTGGTTTTTTCCTCTTCGTTTAGCCATTTGGCGTATAGAAATTGCATTTTTATTTTAATTAATTAAAGGAAAATTATGCTTAAGATATTTTGCAGTAATGCTACAGTCAGGAACTTGATCACTTTCATTATACCACCCCTTCCACCCCTTTCTGTTCATGTCTTATCACAAATAATTTCAGTTTATGAAAAAGCAAACAAAATTGATTGATAATACACATAGAAATATTTGTTGAGTATTGAGGGGGAGGGAATCCGACCTGCCAGTGCAAAAGTGCCAAAAAAAAAAAAAAAAAAAAAAAAAAAAAAAACTTTTTTCCCCGAACTTCACTTACTATTATTTAAATAAATCACTTTATACATATAAAGAGTTTGATAATTGTAGTCGTCATATCTAATTATATTCCTCTTCTTTTACGCATATTTTTAATAAGTAGCTGCAACAATTACGAAGTAAAAGAAAACAAACACTGAAGTAGGTGTGGCATTTAAAGGGCTATCAAAATCCTCTTTATGCCATATATTATTGTCAGATCGTTTTGAAATTTATACTTCAATGTAATAAGGGTATAAAGTACATTTTTAGCAAAAATTTGAAAAATTAATAAATTCCTGGTTTTGGGGTACCAAGTTCTCTTAAATGTCACAAAACAATTTTTAGGCCATTTATACATTGTCAATTATATATTTTCGTGCATAAAACAATATAATTTATTATATTAATGTATGTGAATAGACGTAAATAATAATTGATTTCTTTTTTAGTTTGTCTTCATATAAAGTAAAGTTGATGGTAACATTCATGCGTATATTTTTTATATATAAGAAACGGAGGAAAAAAAAAAGGAAAAGAACCCACGGGAATCTGCTGAATGTTTTTAAATGAAAAGGGTACTTTATTCAGTGATTCATACTTAAGGAAGTGCTTGAACTGTTCCACGCTGCAGGAGGACCACTTGAAACCTCTTTCGGTGTGTCGTAGATCACTCATGATGAAGCCGTCTTCCCATGGACAATGCGTGGCACCCGGCCCGCCGAGGTAACTGGGAGGCGGTGATCCATCATGAACACAACCCAATCTGTGATAAAAATTGTTTTTAATCTTTAAAATCAGAGTATATTAGACGAAAAACAATTTGAATAAGTTTATTTAACTTGACGAACAATAATTAAAGCTTGTATGAGGCGAATGTTTTACTCATTTGAAACTGACCCTACTTATTGAACAAGAAAAGAAAAACTCGCATGTAGCTAAGCATTCTCTCTCTTCAGAAACAGAACTCTGAGTGAGTTACCAATAAACAGCATTTTAAATCTACAGAGGGAAACCATTAATTCATTTAACATTTCAGAATATGAAAGTTATGACACGAGAATTTTTTTACATAATGGGGGAAAAAAGTCTTGCTACAGAAAATTTCTCTTCCGTACAACTTTTAAAGTCATTTTAAAATCGCATTATTTAATTTCGAAGATACGATTCCAAATTTCTGTATCATCAGAACGTTTCTTTAATGAGAAGAGCGCCTTTGTGATGCAATTTAATGCATTATTTTGCATAACTTAGGTTACTGATTAAGGAAAATTCGTCAAGGGCTCTCTACTTTACAAAGAATATATTCGCAGAAATCTTTCTACGAGACATTAACGCCTATTCAAGACGAAAATAGGAAAATTCTCGAGAATCATAAACGGACAGTTCTTTGAATCGTTGGTAATGGAATCCGAAACGAAATACCAGGGATTAACAATCTTATCCTTTCAGCTGTTGGTGAACCCTGAGATAATTTAAATGCTGTGGAGGCCTTAAGCAGATAGTTTTGCAATTTTCAACCAGCTGCCTGATTTTTTTTTCTTTTTTGCTGTTACAGAGTTACATTAATGATAACCATTAACATACCTAGCAAATCTTAAGCTTCTTGGAAGTTTTCTAATTCTCAGAGTACGTAAAAAAAGACAATACACTTGTGAATGTGCTTTCTTATCAGTAACAATTAACTTTGTTCTGTGCAAAAGATGGCTTTGACAGCAATGTAAATGAATAATTCAAAGTGGGGTAAAACTGCAATTCAAAATACCTTTAGTAAATATGGTTATTTTTTCTGATAATATATGTGTTCATAGGTGTGCGAATATAAAACGGGAGGTTAGTATTTCTCAACTTTCAGGTCTTGTAGAATGTAGTTTAGAATTTAATGAAGGCAAGGATATCGTTTGTTAGTGGAACATATCAGAAGCTGATGTTATCGGTGGTAAGACTCAGCTGTTCACACCGATTCGATCTAGTTCACAAATGATGACAGGTCAACAGGTTTTGGAATTCGTCAAACTAGTAGCTATCCTCGAAGATTTTTATGTACAGAGAACAAAGAATCCTCAAAATGGCGCAACTGAGTGACGTCATAACAGAAACTGCAAAGGAATCGGTTTGACCCGTAGGTATAAGATATTCCCTCAAAGTAAACGTAAATGTTTGTGTTTCAAAGTATACATCTTCTATAAAGTGCGCTGAATGTTTCATCTGGCGATTGCACCATGTAGTAGGTAGTTGAGACACGTAACCTGTAGCAGAATACAAGCTTCAGCTTAATTAACTGCTCTGATTTTCTTTCGTTCTGATATGTGGAGAGAATAAAAATTAATTCCCTCGAGAAAAAATGTTATCGAATTCAGTGGAAAAGCACTCACACCGCGGTGTGTCTTCGCATTGTTTGATTTGTCAACAAAATTTCAGCTTTGTTATTTATGCAGCTTCAATTGAAGAAATCTAAAAGACTATATTATGATAAAATTTTAGAATCAAACACACTGTCTTAAAAGAACATATTCTGCATGTCATTTCGCTGTCAAGGGACAGCTGGTCTACCGGGTAAGTACTCATCAGGTTGTACAGACTATCGTTCTTTCCTAAGATATATGGTACACTGGAAACAAAGAAATCATAATCTATGGATTTACGTCAATTATTGCTTTCAGTTAGGTAAGTTCCTTAAAAATAATGTCAAATCGCAAGATCATCAGACGAAACGTAAATGCATTGCTTTCGATAAATTTACATTACATTGCATTTATAATTTCAGTACTGTAATTTAATTTATTTTAATTTCTTAAATTTTCTCATAATGCTAAAGTAGCATCTCCAGTTTTTTTAGATTTAACCCATTTAGTCCCAATGAAATATAGAAGTCCCAGTAGATATTTAAAGAAGCCTACAGAGAGTTACTCGTATCAATATACTACGTAATTGATGCCCCACTGAAAGTAAGCGCCCATCTCCTTATAGAAGACTTGGTGAATTTGTTTATTATAAGGCGAGCATATGCTACGTCATTAAGTGCTACGTCTTTACGTGTAAACAAATAAATTGGGACTGAAAGAGTTAACAGATAGGATTTAAAATAAAAAAAAATATATATACAAATTAATTGACTAAATATGACTGAGCTTTTCATTAAAGCTTTTTCTTAAATGTTTTGTCGAGAAATTTTATATAACGCCTCCAAGGAAATTCAGTTTCTTTAACAAATTAGTTTACAGTGATCAAGTAATTTTATACGTATCTTATCCAACACACTTTCCTTCTTTTTACTTTTCTGCTAGTTTAGGAGTTGTCGTTCAAGGTCAAAATTAATTTATTAGCCTGCTGTAGAATTCTTCACACACACATTTAGTGAGTTAGAGCTCACATAGTATTTTTCGAGTTTCTATTTCAAAATCATGAATTCTGTCCTCATAAAGCAAAAGCAAATAGAGAAGAAAATCTAATTTAATAGTTTTATTAAATTGCGTAAAGAATTTTAAATAAAGAGTTTTAACTAATAATATAAATCTAAATATCCAATTTATGAATAAGGTAATCTTACATATGAACAATTATACATAAAATTAATTCATTTTTATTACATAAAGTGAAACACGTTTGTGTACGTGCAGAGAAATCTTTCTGATTTATTTTTCAATCTTAATGCTTTTAATTGTAGAGTAATTAAAAAACTGTAAAGGAAACTGAAAATTAATTACTATTATTCAAACTATATTTATAGGTATAGTAATTTTATTATTTCCTCTTAAAAGTCACACATACGAATAATTTATAACATCCTTTACTAGATTAAAATAATCAATATGCATATCTTCAGGAAAAGAATAAAGCATTTTAAACTACTTTTAACATGTTTTAAAAATGTATTTCTTAAATGCGATTAAAAGCTTCATTGTATATTTGAGATTAAGGAACTATTTATAAATAATATATATTAATAAAACTAATAATGGTGGAACGAGAAGTGATGTCGATTTATAAATGATAAATAAAATTTAAATTCTTTAGGAAGGAATTTATCCTACACTATTCCAATTAATAATTAATAAAACGGGGAAATATCACATGCAGACATTACAAAAATTAGACAAATACAAACAGTGTATTACAAAATACAAATCTTTAGACGTTATAAAAACTAACAAACACTTTTTTTCATTTATTTATAATAGAAATAAATGAAATATAAAACATAATTAAATATAAAAATAGTTTATAAATAAAGCTTCGAAAGTTATTAACTATGAAACTAAAAGACAAAATTTTAATTCCCGAAAAGGTATATTATTGCAAATTTCTCATTAAATTTATTTCAGTTTAAGTAATACTACGTTACTCATTCGCGCAAATATAACTGATCAAAGCTGATTTGCTTTCTAATCGTTTCTCTTTGAAGATGTTACTACAATAGAGGTTCAAGCTTGTGACACTTTTACCATAAAAAATACCTCATGATTGTTTAAAGAACTTTTCCTTCACATCAAATGATATAGTGCTATTATGTTATATTGGATTATTTTATAATATTATTTTGTAGCCAAAAAAATCTAGCCTGTAATCACATAATAATACAATAAATGGTGCAATACAGAATTAACGTAGCATAATAAGTAATATTCATAACAAAATAAGCAAATTCAAATGACTTATGGTTCATAATTTTAACGACATGGAATTAAGAAAACTATATTATTTTAAGAAACAAAATTCAGTTTGTAGAAATAAGAGAGAAGTTAACAAAAAAAAAAAAAAAAAAAAAAGATTTCATTATTGAGAATAGAGTGCATTTATTCTTGCTTCGAACATGTACAAAAGAGAAATAGTTTTTAAAAGTACCACGAAGGAAGTGGAGAATTTTAATTACCGTTAATTAAGAAAACACTGATTAAAATATCTCATCCACTCTTGCTCGTTTTGACTTGTTTCAATAAAATGTTTTGGAATACATTTAAGTTAAATACGGAACTGATTAAATAACTTCCATAGATTTATCTCTCTCTATGTATATACACATTTATTAATCTATGGAAGCTATTACAATGTTAATGATAGATATAATGAATTTTCTCCATATTTTTATTAAAGCATTAGATATTTGTTTTTCTTTTTTCAAATTTCGGTTCAATATTTAACATTTTTACAGCAATGAAAAGGAAAGCAATACAACTTTCTGCGACTTACAAATGTCCTATTTCATGCGCAGCTACAATAATACCACTAAATCCTCCACTGTCTTCTATAATAGCTACACTGTTGACTTTTTCCAGTCTCTTGTTCACGACGCAAGCACCTCCAACGTAGGCGAAACCTTCGAAAAGAAAGTATAAATCACTACGTGCAAAGCATTAAAAAATGATATAATAAATGCGAGACTACAATGTAATATGTTATTGGCACAAATTTAGCTTTTTTTTCCTTTTGTTTTATTTGAAGTCTTCTGTTTCCCCCCCTTTTTTTTCTTTTTAAATTCACGAAAAGTTATTTTCCCCATATTTCACTTTTTACTCCATATGACATGAAAGACAGAAAAATCTTCATCCAGTTCTAATTGTAGTAACTGTCTTTTTATTAAAAACTAACCGCTATGCGGCCAGCCTTCTGGCTTTTAAATGTATCGGAAAAATGCCTAAAGGGAACACCAAACATTAAATTTAAAAACTGCACAGAATTTTACTCTGCAGAACAACTTATCACAAAAAATGCCTAAAGGGGACACCAAACATTAAATTTAAAAACTGCACAGAATATATATTGTGATAAGTTGTTCTGCAGAGTAAAATTCTGTGCAGTTTTTAAATTTAATGTTTGGTGTTCCCTTTAGGCATTTTTCCGATACATTTAAAAGCCAGAAGGCTGGCCGCATAGCGGTTAGTTTTTAATAAAAGACAGTTACTACAATTAGAATAATATATATATATATATATATATATATATTTTATATAATTATATATATTTTATATGGTAATTTATATATATATATATTTATATGTAATATATATATATAGTATATATATATTTTATATGTAATATATATTACATATAAAAAAATTAACCAAACTTTCCGTTGAAGAAAAAAAATCATGGAAAACATTTCAGTATCTTAGAAACAGTGAAATAAGCAAAAAATAACATGAAAGAAACTCAAAAAACAAAAAAATTCCGCGCAGAATTTTGCTCTGCAGAACAACTTTATATAAAAAAAAAATCAACAAAAATGTATTATATATATAAAAAAATGACAATGAAATATGCCAATCTCTTAAAAACAGTGAGTGACATAAGAAATACGATGAAAAATTGTTGCCAAACCCATATTTCTAAAAGAAGAAACTATTCAAAATGATGCGATTTCATCAAAAATCTATCAATAACAATAGAAAAGGAAATTTGTTGCCAAAATCACATTTTTAAAGATGTGAGAAGTGTACTCGGAAGCTTCATTTAAAAATTTTTTAAAAATACCAAATATTATCATTTTTCCAAAATTCCTTTTGCAAAAGCAGTCGCAAGGATAAAAGTTTAACGTGTCCAAAAATCAAAGAAAAATAAACTGTACATTTTTAAAAATAAACTTTTTTAGAAAAAACTCCCGTTGAAAAGGTGTTAATTTCACTTTGTTAAATAATTCGTATTTAATCGATTTATTGAAACACGAAATTAATTTTAAGTTTGTAAAATAGCTAAGTGCCTACGCTTCATGACGATGTAAAAATGGAGTGCGTAGAGTAAAATCTCGCTTTCCTATAGCCCATTATGTCTCAAAATGACGCGATTTCCTCACAAAACATAAAATAAAAAAAATTCTAATTCGAATTTCGAAAAATTCGCTTCGAGGTGCACTGACTCGTATCCAGATGCACCTATGTACCGAACTTCGTAGCCGTGGGTCTATTAGCTTACGCGCAGCGCGAACGAAAGCACACACAGAGACTGACTCTTTCTTTTATTATATGTAAAGATAACAAAATAACAATGAAATAAGCAATATCCCTTAATGCAAATTTTCTTTTCTTGCAAATATTAATATCCTAATAAATAAATTAACCAACTTTCTGTTGCAAAATCTTAAGAATTCAAATGGTATAAAGGAAGTTAAGAACATTGTTTCCTAAAAAAATCATGCAAAACTTTTTATATAATTAAAACATAATATAAAAAGATTACAATGAAATGAGCAATAAATCTCATATTTTCAAGAGAAAACAGTCAGCAGTCCAGCATCCAAAGCAATAAATGAAAAACTGTTGCCAAAACTACATTTTTAAAAGAATGAAACTATCATCGGAGAGCAAAAACCAATCAAAATTCTGCTTTGTGGATGACATAATTCAAAATATACAAACCTCTCTGCCATTAGCTAATAAAGAGAGAGAGAGAGAGAGAAAGAGAATTTATTCTACTGTGTCTCGCGAGACACATGCGCGTCAGAATAAGAAGATTGCGATGTACGTGTTGCGTGTCCAAAAATCAAAACAAAATAAGTAGCATTTTATCTCATATTTTCAACAGTCAGCAGTCCAGTATACAAAGCACTGAATGAAAAACTGTTGCCAAAAAAAGAATGAAACTATTCAAAATGATGAGTTTCATCAAAAAAGATAAAATAAAAAAATCTGATTCAAATTTTGAAAAGATCGCTTCGAGATGCACTGGCTCTTCTCTAGATGCACCTATGTACCAAATTTCGTAGCCCTGGGTCTATTAGCTTACGCGCATAACGAACGACAAACACACGGACCGGCAGACTCTTTCTTTTATTATATGTAGAGATATTATTAGTGAGTTTTAATGATATTAAATAAATTTTTAACTCTCAAATCTGGTATGGCTTGTTTTCTAAAAGACTTTTGATATTATATATAATCAAGGGGTAAATTCTTTATATTTATACAGTAGAAAGAATTTATCTCTAGAAGAGAGAGATTTCGTTTTATGCTGAGGTATCCCTGCCAGTATAGTTAGAAAAAATCAGTATAGTTAGACACAGAATAGTATTTTGCTAACAGATGAAGAAATTTAACGTAAAAATTAGGATAAAGAAACTAGAAATGTTTGCTAATTATAGTTCCTTTCGAACTCTAACTTATCATAGCGTCATTATTATGGCTAACGCTTTCGATCAGCAATAACTCTTGCTTATTTTTTACTATTTTTCACATTGAGGTTTTTCATTTATTTACTAGCAAATTTCAAAAAGTTAATTTTCACATGGATTCTTTTAGAATGCTTTTTTTTAGAAAAAGAAAAAGTCACAAGAAACAAAAATGCGTATTATTATTCTGAAATTAAAAACTTGTGAAAATTATTTTTAAAAATAAAAATTTTGTGTTTTAAAAATTTAAGAAGTCATGAGAACGGAATGATTTTACTTTAAATGGATGGAGAGTTACTCTCCATTAAAGGTTTCAAGAAGAAATCATACTTTTCCAATACATAATCGAACTTTAAGGGGTGATACGTCACATGGAAACAAACGCTATTCATAGAATGCGCGGTCGCTTATCGCTTAAACATCGGAAAGAGATTTCTTTCACTACAGATGGGCCGTCTTTTGCAAGCTAAAGAGAGATTGATGATGACCTTTTTCTTCTCTACGTTTGTATACCGATTTCCAAGGTTGCTAACGGCAATGTATCAGATATTAATTTGGAGATATAAAATAACATAAGACACAAAATATAGATATAATATAAGCATAAAAATTAAAGACGAGATTTTGATAAAAATTCAAATTCGTAATTATATGAAACTTCACAGATTGTATGTAATTTATTTCGATATTTATATTATACATGACCTGTAAACCGCGATATTTCGTTCCACATGGTTTCAGCCGACTGCTGACTTAGAAATCGAAATTGAATTAAAAAATATGACTAATGTTATAAACTGATATGCTATTCAGAATTATTGCTAACAATGGAAAATTATAAAACAAAAACGGTGAAGTTTAATTTACGAATTTACATAAAACATTACACAACTGCAAACAGCTAAAATTATTCTTATATATTTAAATACTAAATAATTATGCCGATATTTATAATATACTAGCGGAAGTACCCGATACCAGTTACGTTAGAGTAATGCATCTAACAGCAGACAGAACGATACCGCTGTAATCCTTCTCTAAAAACGATGCAAAAACTACTATTCATAGTCATACATTTTTGAGTCTGATGCGATATGAAACCCACATAACAAATATCGATAAAAAATAAGCTAATGCTTTCTTTCATTATATCAGCAACAATGGCACACAGTTTTTAATAATTTTCGTCTTTCTAATCAAATGGCTGTAAAAGCTCAAGTTCCATCCACTATTTCAGCTATATTCAATTTTAATCGATTAAATGCGGTGAAAAATTGATCATAAGTAATAAGAAATCAATAAAGCGAACAAAAAAAAAAAAAAACTAACACATAAACAGAAGTTCTTCCCTATACATATAGAGAGATTTTGTAAAACTTACAGAATTTTGATGTAAACTCTACGATTTGAAAGAGAGCAGTAGCAACACTTTTCAAAATAAAGCATTTCTATCTCTAACGCTCGAGACTGTTGCCACTCGGGAAAATAAGTGCGAAAATTAATGTTTTCGAGGTTTTTAATTGATATTTCGGCTGATTTCGGTTGATTTCGGCTGTCGTACGAAGATGGGAATAGTCGAAATGGTTTCCCACGAATTTTTGGAATTGGGAATAATGTATTTAATGTTTGGCAATGCTATATTTATTTCATCGTAAAACTTAGAAATTTTTTATTAACAAACTCTAGGATTTGAAAGCGAGCAGTGGCAACAACTTTCGAAATAAAGCAGATTTTCATCTCCAGCTTGCGAGACTGTTGCCACTCGGAAAAATGAGAGCGAAAATTGTCGTTTTTTCGAGTTTTTAATTAGTATCTTTGATTTTAGCTACTTTTTTTTCCAAAAAAAGTGGACGTCGGCCTTTCCCAGGACCCAGAAAAGAATCGTAGAAAGTTTGGCGACGATAGCTATTGTAATGACTCAGTTATTAGAGGACAAACAAACAGATTTTCTTCTTTATACATATAGATATTTACCAATCCTTTTAAAATGTTATAAGCATTGCAACTGTTGATAATTTATTTACCTGCAGTTCCTCTGTTGCATCTTCCACCAGGGAATCTCCTTCGGCACATGTCCAGCTTGGTGATGACCACTGCAAGATCGTAAGTGGGTAATCTGTGCTCCCTATAGAGATATTTGCCCATGTCTGTGAGAGCACCAGCGGCATCTACTGCATCAGCATTCGGAGGCCGTAACCGATTTCTCTCCAGGTAGGGCGTGGCATCACGATCCTTAAAATGTCAACCAATTAATAAGCTAAAACGCCTTTTAAGAATACATGAATAATGATAATAATAAAAGATTTATTTTTGAACGCTGATATCACTTTTAAAGACACTTAAAAGACTAAGATATGTTAACTCTACACAAAACAAAACAAAAAGAAAGGTGTGTGTGGGAGGAACAGTTTAATATTTTTTGTTCTACCTAGCCGATTGACGAGGTTTAATTCGCGTTTTTTATGTCCCGAAAGTGCGATTTGGAATATATATCAAATTTATATACAGTAATTTTCTAACATAGGTACTTTAACACAAAATCGTTTTTCTGAAATGACATACAGAAACTAGTTTTCATATTTCGATTCTACGATTCAATTTATGCGTGTAAAGACATTAGATATTTCTTTGAAAGCAGGAGGCCTCGGTGTTAATTAAATTTGTTTTTATTAAACTTACTTGATTCCTTCTTCCACACTTTGAAATTCAGGTTCAGTTCAAATAAAATTTGCGCATAGTTTATGATTTACCTTAAAATGTGTATTTTTAAGTAATTTTTATACATTTTTCAAAAAAATTTTGATTTATAACCTATAAAAATTTTGCCGTCACCTTAAAGTAGATATATTTCTAGGCATACCTGCAAAAAATCAGAGTATTTTATTCAAAATTTCCCAATATATGCCTGAATTTATATATAGACGCGTTTCGAAATTCAGCATACTTGTTAAAGCGAATTATACTTAGCGCATCCTGAAAATCGTACAGCAAGGTAAATAAAAAATTTCAAGGTATGTTTCTCGAGACATTTTACAAAATGTAACATTTAGGCATAATTTTAATCGTCGAATCGAAATATGGAAAAGTCTGTATGTCATTTCAGAAAAAGTCTTAAATTGTCATTGTCCAATTTTGTGTCCAAATACCTATGTTAGAATAATAATAATATATATATATCTCCCAAGTCGTTCCTATCTTTTCGAGAATAGAACTGTCGACCCCTTTTCTTGTGCTAAATGTATACCTAGAGATTCAGGTAAGTAGTCCTTTAAATAATGAAACAATGTAGCTATTATAGCTGATTGAATATATGCCACAAAATAATTTTAAAAACCAAGATCTTCAACTCGAAAGAGGAAAAGTCCCACTTGCTTCCGAGAGTTACCTTTAAAATATCAGTTTCAATTATCAATCAATCAAAAGTATCTATTCAGAACATTTGTTGCTGGGTTAATTAAATAATAAATGGTTATTATAAGTTCGAGAAGAGAAATAATTACGTAAATAATTTAAGGTCCCTTCTTGATGAGGACTATTTTTTATATAGAAAAAAGATAGATAGAATATAGAAAAAAGAAAAAAGATCACAAGAGAAGATATGATTCCATTTTAATACTTGATGATAAAAATAGACAATTTGTTAACCTTTTGCTGCATATTCAGAGAGATGTAAGGAAGAATTTAAAACTAAGAAAGGAATGATGGGAATAATATATTTTATATTTCAATAAATAGTTATGTAATTAGCCCCCAAAAAATCTTAGTCGCGAATGGGATATTATAGTCGCCAAACGGCATTTTGAGTCGAAACACTTAAATGCGTTGTATCACTTTTCAAATTGTTGCAACTAAATATTATCGCTCTGTATTATGTTTAAAGGAATTAAATAATGAAGAATCTGCATGAATATACGTATGTTTCTCGCACTGTGAAAAAACAGTAGTACCTAGGGCCATTAAATCTTAAATAACGTAGTCTTCTTCACCGAATATGGGGACCTGGAAGGTCGCAATTTCGAATTTGTTTTATTATCTATTTCATATTTTGTAAAACGTAAATAATTTTTATTAAAAAGTCAACTATTGCAAAGCTAGCAGTGGCAACACTGTGTGTAACAGAAAAATTTTATCTCCAGCGAGCCAAGCTGGATATCGAAAATTCTAAAGATATGCTGCTTTTAAATATTTTGTGATTTTGCCGTTGAATCGAATTTTGTTTGGCGTAAGCGCCAGGAACGTGATATTTAATAAATAAACACACACAACTTTAATAATAATAATAATAATAATAATAAAAAACGAAAATAGTTTTCTGAAGCCATCTTAGTAACAGTGAACATTGATATGACGAAATGAGAAAAGACTGGGAGGGGGGAGGAAGGAAGAAAATGTACGCCAACACTTAATCTTGCATCGGAAATTCTGAACATACACTGCTATGCTGCTTTTAAAATTTTTGTAATTTTTCTGTTGAATTCTATATGGCGTCAATGTAAAAAAAATTATGCTTAATAATAAAGCTAAAAAGACCAAAAAGGGGGGTAGTAGGATTGAGTGCAATAGCAGACTGGTAGACTGCGAGCTCAGAGAGAGCGCGAAAAACCTTAACAAACACTTTTGGTTTACCGTGAAAATCTGAAAGCTTTCAGAATTTTTTATATTATTAAAATTATAATAAACTACAAAATATTTGTGCATCTTCAAGCTCATGTTATGAAAACTGGAAATAGACATAGGTTTGGTATTCTGGTGAGTATTTTAGTGAGCAATATTAATTTTCTAGATTTTCATTGCATGTACAGAAAAAATAATATTTTTCTGAACATGTTAATGATCTACTAATCTTAATTTAAAAGCTCAATTATACATCTTCAAACATTTTTGGATTAAATTTTGGGCCAAAATTAGACGAATCCGAGATCTGTGTCTAATCTTTCTGTTGCAAATTTACCGTTTCTGAAAACATATTTAATCGTTTATCTAATTGTTTCGAAAACAAAATCTTCGATATTCGTGAATGAGTTTGCTTTCAGAATCGATTAAAATATTTAGTAGTTAAGAAATTTAACTCTTTATTTAATTGTTACTGCAATGTTATCCTCAAATGCGCAACATTTACTTATTCCGATAGTAAATTTAAATACTATGTTCTTGATGCCAGCAGTTTACTTATTGTATAAATTTATTATAAATGTTTTCACAAAAATGGCAACAAACTCTGTTGAGGATAACTTTCAAGATGAAACTTGATGATAAAAGCAATAGCGATTAATCTTGTTCTTTTTCTAGTTGATTGTTTCTTAATTACGGTGAAAACAAAAGAAAAGAAAAAACTTAATAGTTAACTAAGCAGTGGAAGTTAGTAACTAGTTTTTTTCCTCTTAGATTCTGCACTTTCTCCTGTTCCAACATCAGTTTTTCCTCAGATAATGCGTATCACTTAACAACTACACATTTGTACTCACTTAGAGGTAAGAGAAGCTTCTTCTATCTCTTCCTTTGCTTTGTTTTCTTGTGCTTGTCTTACAGTAATAAGAATATAACCGAGATCACTAATTTGATTTCATATTCGTATTTGCTTCCGATGGGTTAAAAAAATGGAAATTTTTCTCTCTAATTTAAAAAAATATATGTGATCTTCAACAATTTGGTGATGGTGTTATGACATTATTCTGATTTTAATGAAAACATCTCAAATTCATTTTTAAAAATGAATTAAGATATGCCTGAATTTATATATAGACGCGTTTTGAAATTCAGCATACTTGTTAAAGCGAATTATACTTAGCGCATCCTGAAAATCGTACAGCAAGGTAAATAAAAAATTTCAAGGTATATTTCTCGAGACATTTTACAAAATGTAACATTTAGGCATAATTTTAATCGTCGAATCGAAGTATGGAAAAGTCTGTATGTCATTTCAGAAAAAGTCCTAAATTGTCATTATCCAATTTTGTGTTCAAATATCTATGTAATTCAATAATAATAATAATATATATATATATCTCAAGTCGATGTCTTAAAAATGAATTCGTAAATCACGTTGAAAGGAGGCGCTGTCTGAAAAGCTTTAACGAATTTGTCTTGCTGATTTTCTATATTTTTCTGCCTATCTTTTCTATAGCAACATTTTTCATCTCAATTAAAACTAAAAATCGATTAAGAATCATCATTAAAAGAAAAGAAGTTAATCTGCTAGTCAACGTATGAAACTACAATTAAGCTCAGGAGTTTATCTAAGATAAAAGCTATAAAAAGCTTAGCTGATAAAAACCTCTCATGACAAAAGCGCAGCTCAGTTTCTATTTTTTATTGGAGTAATTAATTTATATCATTTAATGAAATAGTAATCAGAAACGATGGAATACAGAAATCAAATGATAACCTATTTCTGAAATTTTGCTTAACATTAAAAATAAGGTTTCGTTTTGCGTATGTGGTTACGCCAAAGCCTCAAGGGCTATCTGCTTCCTGGAGGAATTTCTGAGGGAAACTGGCTCGTATACACGTTACATATGGGGAAAATCACGAAAACGCCCATGCAGCCAGCCTGTTCGAGTGATTTGAAACTCGGACCGAACTACCAGTGTCCAGAGATCTTACCGCTCGGCGCTGGCTGGCCTTCCATAAAAAATAAGAGCATAACAACAATGTTATCCAAAATATTAAATAGCAGAAAAGTGCTATTTGACGTCATTTTACGTCCCGTTTTCATGACAATTACATGCAATTATGTTACACTTCAACGGTCTGTGAAGTACTCAAGATGACTTCACAATGCTTTCATTTAACAGATGCTTTCAGAAATAAGGATAAGGAGAAATGAAAACTTACCTTGGCTACAATCATACCCGCTAAACTGATGCGTACTCTGGGATGATGTAATAGTTTGTACCTGAGGTCAACCTGAAATTAAGAAATTCAAAGTAATTTTTAAACTAAATAATTCGTATTCGTAAATGGATTTTTAGCTAAGTTTCAAATTTTCTTTAGCTAAAGCTGCAAATGAAAGGAATTATCTTTCCTTTTACATAAAAAATTTTCAACACTACTATTCTTTCCAAAAATATGTAGAGTTATATTCAAACGTCCCTCAACAATGCAAATTTCATTCACTGCGTGTGCAATTCACTCTTAAGAGCTGGAATTTATCATATTTAACTATAACTGATAATGCGTAAGAATAATTAAAAGCGAGAATATTTTGGTAAATAGATTTTTAATTTGTGTTTTCGTGGATGACCATATCTCAAACGTCTTATCAGATGCATTTAGTTTAACATGTCTTTCAGAATTTTTTGAAGAAATCCTGAATTCAGAAAACTGAAGAAATTCATTATGCCCTCGCCGGGATTCGAACTCCGGAACACCCGAATACGCGTCGAGCATGCTTCCAGTTACACCACGAAGACATGCGGAGCCCTGGGAGATTTCAGTATTAACATGTAATTAAATCATAATATTATTTACATTAATTAAAAATGAAAAAAGTTGCACTTAAAAAATTTTTTTTGTAGGATTATCAGATTATGATTCTAAAGTATTAAAACTTCGTAACAATACTAATAACTTACTTTTAGACTTTAAAAACTCTTAAATTACTTGTGTGAAAATACCTTCCGTTACTTTCGGCATGCCAAATGTAACGGAATTATAAATTAAAGACACTATAAACCGCACAAGTGTAGCATTAAATAGCATTTAAAAAGGAAAAATTAAAATCCAATTATTCTAATTTTTTTTTATTAACCGACCTTTCGATTAAATACAGAACGACGACAACTACCGCAAATTTGGAAAGTAAAATATCTCAGCCAGTTTTTCTCGTACGAGAATCAAATTTTTTGTTTTATTTCCTATGGCGAGCTATGATTTATGATATTTTAATATTTTCTGTAGTTGTGCTGTGACTTATCTTACTTGTCTGACAATAACATCAGAATCAGCTTACGAAATTCGTAATGGAAAGGAGTGCGAGATTTCGCCTGTCGTTGGCAAGAGCCTTGAGCAGGTGACAGTCCGACTTTGCTCAGTTTCACTCCCAATTTTGATGGAGAGCACTCCGGGGGGGGACAGCTCCGAGGGGCCCTTTTTCCTCTACTATCAACCTTGAGAGGACTCTCGGCTCGCAGCATATTTAGAGTGCTTCCATGCTGCACAGACAAACATCCGGGCCTTCTCCGGGATTCGAACCCGAGTCCTTCGGTACGGCAGTCAGAGTCGCTAACTACTGTCTCGGTTCGGCGGCTTAAAGTTTTTTAATATAAATATAGGAACCGAAGAAACGTATATTTTACGTAAATATATATATATATATATATATATTTTAAATTAAAAAATACACAGTATAAATCTTTGCGTCATTTAAAACATTTTTGTAACTAGAAGTATAGGTCTACGCTCAACGAATACGCTCTACGCTGCAAAAATAAAGACCAGGTAAAAATTTTGTATATAACGATGTGATGTATAAATATTGTTAAATCATCCTTTGAAAACATTTCGCTAAACCATAAAAATAAATTAATTGTACGTCAATTAATCTTCTGCTTCCCATTGACTCCTATCGAAATGCGACAGGAATACAAACAAAAGCATTCTTCTTTCTGTTTTGAAGTGTATTTTTCTTGTTTTGATGCAGATTAAATTTACATAACCAAACTAACTTATTCCCCATATTAAATTGACTAAACATAAGTAAATTGTTAACAGTATTTTTTGTTAATTATCGTATAAATTACTCGCTTTCTTCTATTCTTTTTAATGGCTGCCGAATTAATCTTGATTTTGTGTTAACCGTGTATGCTGTCCCCAGTACTACACGGTTAACATGGAGTCTATTGTATTTCATTTATACGTAATTAATTAATAAGCTTAATTAGCCTAAAGGGCGTTAGCTCAGAAGGGCTATTAATTTCGATTTGGCATTTTGCGTTGGTTCACTTTTCAAATTGTTGCCACCAAATATTAGAGCTCTATTATAATGAAGAATCCGCGTAAATGTATGTATGTTTTTATCGCTGCGAATAACGAATTCTTGATTAAGAAAGGTCAACGATTTCAAAGCGAGCAATGGCAGCATTATACAAAAAAAAAAAAAAAAAAAAAAAAAAAAAAAAAAAAAAAGCTTTTATCGCTAGTACGCGAGACTGTGTATCGAAAATTCTAAATATATGCTTATTTTAAAATTATTTTGCGATATTGCTGTTGAACTGAATTTTATGGTTTAAGTGCGAAGAACATGATATTTAATAAATTAAATAAAGATAGCAAAACGTTAAACAAAAGTCCCCTTGGGCGCAATATAAAATCGGAAAGCTTTCAGATTTTTATTTAGTTCAAAGGGGCTTTGTCCCTGAAGAACTATTGTTTTCGTTTTGCGATTTTGCGTTGGTTCACTATAAATGTTCGTTTCACTTTTCAAACTGTTGCCACCAAATATTAGAGTCCTGCATTATATTTGAAGAAATTAAATAATGAAAAATCTGCATAAATGTATGTCTATTTCTCGCATTGTGATAAAACAACGGTACATAGAGCTATTGATTTTTGAATGACGTAATCTTCCTACGAATATGGGCATGTGGAAGCCCAATTTTGAAATTTGAAATTTGTTTTGTTATCAATTTCAAATTTTGTAAAACTTTAACGAATTTGTGATTAACAAACTCAAGGATTTCACAGCTAGCAATGGCAACATTTTACAGAAAAAACATTTTTATCTCCAGCGCGCGACTCTGTATAGGAAATTCTAAAGATATGCTCATTTTAAAACTATTTTACGATATTGTTCTTGAACTGAAATGTAAATTTATTTTGTAAATAGAATAATACAGCTAAATTTCTATTTTCTATTAATGTACATCGTTTTTAGTGCGCAGATTTTGGTCTGGTATCATGTAACGTCACGAGATGAAGTCTTAAAACATTTTCATTTTCATTTAATCATTTAAAGTTTAACTTATTAAAATACAGCAGACTGAAAAATGAAACAAATAGCTTTTTAATAGGATGACATTTAAAAAAAAATTAAGCGTGAGTAAAATTTTAAAAAACAACAAATTTTTCTTCCAGGGAAATGAAAGTTTAAGTTTACCGTTGCAAGGCCAGATTTCATTAAAATAGGGCATACAGCACGTCATCGTGCTTGAGGGCTCTTATTTATCATTATTATTTTTTTTATCAAGTTTCATAAAATGAAGAAATAAAAGCTTCCGGTTTTTCAAGTCAGAGATCAGAACCTGTTCTTTTAAAGCTTTCTGAACTCGTGATTTCTCGCTTTTGTGAATTTCACTAAGTGAAAAAATGCTTCGTCATGCATTATGTATTAGAATTTCGAAATAACTGTTTTTCCATAAAGTGAAATAAGTTAAACACTTAGGTTTTCCTCTCATGTTTTTGTTGAACTGAGGTGAGGGCATATCCAGGCTAAAAAAAATACGAAACACTGCTGGTAGCTGATAGCATAAGAAACAATTATAGGATAAGACCACAGGATAACTTATCTTTTACATAAAAGGATAATGAAAAGGCAAATGTCACAAAGGAAAAAAAATACAGCTAGAATGTAATTAGTCAATGTTAGGCATTTTCAAATTACATGAATATTTATAAGCATGAGATAAATAATTCTGCCTTCTTGTGTAATACAGTATTCAGAAAAGTTTATTCTTATCATAGGACGAGTACAAATGTTAAATTTTTTTGCGGTTTACTGAACACTTTTCTTTTCATGCCAAAAAAAAAAAAGGTCACGTTTTCTTCTGATTTCTAAATTATTTTTTCTCTTCATTTTCTTTTTTATTAAAGTAGATGACAACGATGTGATTTAGAAAACAGAACGAGCAGCTTTAAGATATGCACTTCAAGATTATCAAAACATTTTTATGCTTTAAAAGCTCACATTTTGGAAAGAATAAAAGCAAATTTTACGGAACAACGTATGTTGCGGAATAATCTCTGTGTAGTTATTAAAATTATTTTAATATACCCTTTCAATTTATTTGGTTTATGCAGAAAAAAAATATAGTTTTGTTTTTTACACTTAACCGATTTGAAGTATAACTGGAATCGTTGTTAAGATGGAAGGAAGAAAGCAGTTGAGGAACTTCAGAAGAGTCGTCAACTTCTGTGTTTAATAACTGGATTCAATCTTCCAGCAATATTAATATGCAGTTTGTTTGTAGCCAAGAGATTGCTAAGAGAGGAAAACCGTACACAGACGGCGAATACATTAAAAAGCTTTTTATAAATGCATCCGAAGAGCTATTTCGGGATTTAAGAGCAAAGCAGATAATCTGAAAAGAATTAAAGAATTCCCTTGTCTCCAAAACCATTAAAGATAGAACAATTAAAATGTGTTCGAATATAACCACCCAGCATATCGAAGATCTGAAATTGGTTTCGGCTTTATCAATAGAGTTGACGAGTCTTTTGGACATAAATGATAGCGCCAGTTCACTTTCTGTAATTTATATCTCATTCAGGCTCTAAAAGAACTTTTAGGATTATTGCGACTCAAGGTCAACGTGGAGAAATTCGCCAATGCTCAATTGAGTGTATGAATAAACATCATATTCCCGGTAAAACTGTGCGATTTCAGATGGGGCCAAAGTATGACCGGCGTCAAGTTGTTGCTATTTTGAAAGAAAAAATTAATCACGAGATGCTGTTCACCATTGTATCATTCACCAAGAAGCGCTTTGTGCCAAACATTTACGGAAGAAATTTGTAAAGTATGAATTAGTATTACCATTATCAACTCCATTTTAGCTAAGCTGTTAATCATCGCCAATTCAAAGAATTTTTTTTTTGAAATGAGAGTGAGTACGCTGATCTTCTGCTTCATAACAAGGTACGTTGGTTTCAAGAGGGAAGTTTTAAAAGTTTCGCGTCCTTTTCCGAAA